AGAGAAGAGGAGGAAGGAGAAGAAGCAAGGGGAGGGGGTGGATGTGAGCACGCCATGCATGAGTGAACAACAACTACACACGAGGTGGAATGATGATGATGTGCTTGGTGTTGTGCGTTGTGTGTGATGGCACAAGGACACAAAGGTCAACCACACACGCAATCACACACACCTCGTCGTCGATCAACGCATCTGCCCGACATATGCGCACACGCACATCTGCAGTCACACACACACACACACAGTCAGACATGGCATTGCAGAGTGAGACGGTGCACCATGCACACGCATACATAACAATGCAAAACACAACCACCATAACCACAACGACAACATCTCTCCCCTCATCTCCATCCCCCCATATGCACGGTCACATGACCAGGTGCACAGCCGTGGTAGTGGTGATGATGGCCATGATGAACGCCTTCCTCCCAACTTTCCCTCATCCCTCTTCCACCAAACACACGCACACCATTGCGTGCCCTCACCTCGTGCATCGTGTCGCTGTCGGCGTGGTTGATGGCGACGCACACGCATGTACACGCACACATACACACATCGCTGTGTGTGTTCCCAGTTGAGATGAGCAACGAAGAGAGAGAAATGGGCGACACGACACGATGGCCAGTCAACCCCAGCCAATCCAATCCAGCATCAACCGCCGTGTGTTGCCTGCTGCAGTCATCATCACAATCACAAACAGGTGCGCAGGTGCAAGCAAAAGGAATGAGCCACTGATATGTGTGTCATTGTCATGTGATATTACCACCACACGACATCACGTGCATGTGCACACGCACCCCTCATCCCCCAACCAACATCATCGCCCTCAAATCATTTCCCTCTCCCTCTCCCTCCTCTGCTCTGCATTTCCACGTCGCCCCATCACCACCACCACCATCACCATCACCGTGTCACTTCCCTCCCCCCCTGCTCCCACCACTCGACACAACCCAACCAACCAAGCAACCAGCCGCCAACGGTCATCCTCACCTGTGCTTGATGCAGCCAGCCAGCCAGCCAATGTGCCACAGCGAAGCCAGAAAAAGGGAACCGCAATCACATGCCACGGCCACCATCGTCATCGCTGATGGAGCAGAAAGAGGAGATGAAGGGGGAAGAGTGGTGGGCACGGGCCGTGTCCTTCCTTGTCCGCATCGGTGCAGCCCAAACACGGTGCACAGCGCACAGGCGCGCGCACGGCCATCATCACAACCACCAGCAGCACAAGCTTGCATGCCTGCTTGCCCTGCGTGCCTGTGAGGCAAGAAGAAACCAACCAAAGACGAACAATGACCGGTGATGGTGAGGACAGGAAAGGAGGGACACAAGGGACCACGCATGGGAATATGCAGCATGTTGTGGGCGGGTGAACCAGATACACACAAGAACGACGAAGCAAGCACCCAACAAGCAGGCAAGCAGGCACACCACATCCACCACATCCGCCACTGCTGAAATACCTGTGTTGGCCGCAGTCTCAATCACGCCTCAACAGCTCCACATCACATGGGGAAGGCTGATGATGATGACGACACAGAGCAAAGACGATTGGCTGGAAAGGGGGAAGGAAATTTCGGTTGGGGAAACCCGCACACGTCCGTCTGCAGCCACGCACACGCACACACGCACATTTGAGTTGTGTGATTGATTCATGTGAGACGCACGTCAGTGCAACCACCCCACAGCCAATGACTGCTCTGGTGTTGGCATGCATGTGTACATGCGTGTACGTGCGTGCGTATGTGCGTACGAATGTGTACTACCACCCCATCACCACACACACACACACACACACACACACACGCACACGCACACACACACACACACAGCCCCAACGTCTCACCTGGTGCCGTTTTTTCTTGCACATGTGTGTGCGTGTATCGCCCTGCTCGTGTCATGAGGGCTTGGGAAGAGAACGGCCACCGTCCTGTGTAAATCACACACATGCACACATGCGCAAGCACAAACAACAAAATCAGCAAGAATCACACCACGAAGTGAGCCAGCATGGCAGAAACAAACCACATCCACCTCCTTGTGCCTCATTCACATCACCCACATCACCACCTGTGCACGCACATGTCACATCCCCACACCCCCACCACCACCACCACCACTACAAGCATCACATCTGCACATGCGTGTGCGTGCGCCACGTACATCCACCACAAATCACTCACCACCACCATCGTCATCGTCACCCGAGGCAACGGCACATCGACGCACATCACACCCTGTGTGTGTGCGTGGAGAAAGAGGTGAGTTGTCACAGAATCAGGTTGTCAACGACAACAACGCCCATTGCCACCACCAACAGACCCAACGACATCCAACCTACACCTCACAATCACACGCACACACACATGCTGGTGTTCACACCCAACACATCACACGCCACCCACGTCACCAACACCCCCACCCATTCATCTCACCTCCACATCCATGGTCGCAGTCGCTGCTGTTGGTGACCAATGACGACGAGGAGGAGCAGGAGATGGACGAGAGGCAGAGGGCCAATTCATCCAAAATGCAGCCAGCCATCAGCTGTTGCTGTTGGTGTTGATGGTGGAAACGGTGAAAACAAAACGGCCCCTTGCCACGTTGTGTCCATTTGCTCGCTCGCTCGGCTGTTTGGTTGGTCGGTTGGATGGAGTCAGAATGCATGTCCTTGTGTCCAAATCAATCAAAAAAAAGGGGGAACAAAAGACACATGAGTGGACAGAACAGACAAGGAAAGAGGGAGGCGAAGAAGGGAACACAGCGTGTCAACCATACACACACACACATCTCAGTCGGCCTCTCACCTGCATCACTCGTCATCGTCATCGTCGTTGGTTCCACCGCTTCATGCGCCTCCTCAACGCTGAGATCATGCGTGTGCACAGACACAAGATGGGAGAGAATGCAGGGGGGGGTGAGGTTGACAGCGAAGCACCATTAACCACACGCCATCCCCATCCAACCACAAGCATTGACACACATCCACACGCACACACACACACATTGCTCACCTCTTGATGAGAGCGAGTGACATGTGCAAGGTCTGCCTCACGCCAGATTGGGGCTGGTGTCGGCCGGAGTGTGATGGCGGCTGTGCGGTCGATGGCAATGGCGGTGATGGCGGTGGTGAGAGCGGAGCTTAGGTGGAAGAGGAGAGAAAGGAGAGCGAAATGGGGAAGGGTTGAGGATGTGGCATTCATGGCGGCTGCTTTCCCCTCCTCTGATGTGGCCCTGGTGCCCATGCAACCAACACACAACGACAAGACACAACGACATCATCACACACGAGGCACGGGTATGGCATGTGAGCACAGCAGGCGTGTTCACCTTCCTGTCCCTCCTCTGCTTTCCTCCTCCTCGCCCCACCACACACACGCACACCTGCGCATGACTGCGTCGCTGTGGTTGGATGTGCCCCCCATGACCATGGACGTGTGTGTCCACAGCTGCTGCTCCCAACCCATCATGTGTGCACCGCCCATCATCCTCCAACGATCCTCAGGCAGTCGCCCCCCTGCGGCCACAAGCATACACACACGTACATGACATGTGAGCTGCACAGCTACACTGGTGCACGAGACACCCACAGCAGCAACACCAAGCACACGCAGCAACAGCACCAACACATGCGTCATGTGCCAACCAAAGCATCCATGATGGCTCACCTTGCTCACATGTGGGAACACTGCATGAGCACAGCAACGGCAGCCGAATCGGGGGAGTCGTAGCAGCAGCAGCCGGCATGGGAGCCCCCTTCCATGTGATGTGTGCTGGTACCTCACCACCTGTGTTTATGTGCATGTGTGTGTGTGTGTGTGGTTGCAGGCACCATGGATGGGAACAGAACACAACAGGCACAGAGCAAGCCATCACGTCAGCACAGCAGAAAGTGTGATTGACATCACACACACCACGTGTGCGCGTGCGTGTGTGTGTCGGTGCGTGATCATCATCCCCCATCAACCCTTCTTCCTCTTGTTCGCTTCACCCCATCACCACAACCCCATCCCCACACTCTATCACAACCAACCAACCACTCATCACCACCCACATACCATGTGTGAGGCGAGTGCACCTGGCACGCGTGGGAAGTATCCTCGACATTTCCCTCATCCTGCCTATAAGTGTGCATCGCCTGTAAGAGTGCTTGTGTGCGAGTACCAGCAC